TGATATACAGTAAGTTATTACCTACCTCTAACCTAGCTAATATCTTATACTGAGTGTCAGACAGTAAGTTATTACCTACCTCTAACCTCCTGCTAATATCTTATACTGAGTGTCAGACAGTAAGTTATTACCTACCTCTAACCTACCGCTAATATCTTATACTGAGTGACAGACAGTAAGTTATTACCTACCTCTAACCTACCGCTAATATCTTATACTGAGTGACAGACAGTAAGTTATTACCTACCTCTAACCTACTGCTAATATCTTACACTGAGTGACAGACAGTAAGTCATTACCTACCTCTAACCTACCGCTAATATCTTATACTGAGTGTCAGACAGTAAGTTATTACCTACCTCTAACCTACCGCTAATATCTTATACTGAGTGTCAGACGGTAAGTTATTACCTACCTCTAACCTACTGCTAATATCTTATACTGAGTGTCAGACAGTAAGTTATTACCTACCTCTAACCTACCTCTAATATCTTATACTGAGTGACAGACAGTAAGTTATTACCTACCTCTAACCTACCTCTAATATCTTATACTGAGTGACAGACAGTAAGTTATTACCTACCTCTAACCTACCGCTAATATCTTATACTGAGTGACAGACAGTAAGTCATTACCTACCTCTAACCTACTGCTAATATCTTATACTGAGTGACAGACAGTAAGTTATTACCTACCTCTAACCTACCGCTAATATCTTATACTGAGTGACAGACAGTAAGTCACTACCTACCTCTAACCTACCGCTAATATCTTATACTGAGTGACAGACAGTAAGTTATTACCTACCTCTAACCTACCGCTAATATCTTATACTGAGTGACAGACAGTAAGTTATTACCTACCTCTAACCTACCGCTAATATCTTATACTGAGTGACAGACAGTAAGTTATTACCTACCTCTAACCTACCGCTAATATCTTATACTGAGTGACAGACAGTAAGTTATTACCTACCTCTAACCTACCGCTAACATCTTATACTGAGTGACAGACAGTAAGTTATTACCTACCTCTAACCTCCTGCTAATATCTTATACTGAGTGTCAGACAGTAAGTCATTACCTACCTCTAACCTTCCGCTAATATCTTATACTGAGTGACAGACAGTAAGTTATTACCTACCTCTAACCTTCCGCTAATATCTTATACTGAGTGACAGACAGTAAGTTATTACCTACCTCTAACCTACTGCTAATATCTTATACTGAGTGACAGACAGTAAGTTATTACCTACCTCTAACCTACTGCTAATATCTTATACTGAGTGACAGACAGTAAGTCACTACCTACCTCTAACCTACCTCTAATATCTTATACTGAGTGTCAGACCTCTAATATCTTATACTGAGTGACAGACAGTAAGTTATTACCTACCTCTAACCTACCGCTAATATCTTATACTGAGTGACAGACAGTAAGTACTACCTACCTCTAACCTACTCTAATATCTTATACTGAGTGACAGACAGTAAGTTATTACCTACCTCTAACCTACTGCTAATATATTATACTGAGTGACAGACAGTAAGTTATTACCTACCTCTTACCTCCTGCTAATATCTTATACTGAGTGACAGACAGTAAGTTACTACCTACCTCTAACCTACCTCTAATATCTTATACTGAGTGACAGACAGTAAGTTATTACCTACCTCTAACCTTCCGCTAATATCTTATGCGGGTATGAACAGTAAGTTAATACCTACCTCTAACCTACACGCTATCTTATACTGAGTGTCAGACGGTAAGTTACCTACCTCTAACCTACCGCTAATATCTTATGCTGAGTGTCAGACAGTAAGTTATTACCTACCTCTAACCTACCGCTAATATCTTATACTGAGTGTCAGACAGTAAGTTATTACCTACCTCTAACCTACCGCTAATATCTTATACTGAGTGTCAGACAGTAAGTCATTACCTACCTCTAACCTACTGCTAATATATTATACTGAGTGACACAGTAAGTTATTACCTACCTCTAACCTACCGCTAATATCTTATACTGAGTGACAGACAGTAAGTCACTACCTACCTCTAACCTACTGCTAATATATTATACTGAGTGACAGACAGTAAGTCACTACCTACCTCTAACCTACCTCTAATATCTTATACTGAGTGTCAGACAGTAAGTCACTACCTACCTCTAACCTTACGCTAATATCTTATACTGAGTGACAGACAGTAAGTTATTACCTACCTCTAACCTACCGCTAATATCTTATACTGAGTGACAGACAGTAAGTCACTACCTACCTCTAACCTACCTCTAATATCTTATACTGAGTGACAGACAGTAAGTTATTACCTACCTCTAACCTTCCGCTAATATCTTATACTGAGTGACAGACAGTAAGTCATTACCTACCTCTAACCTACTGCTAATATCTTATACTGAGTGACAGACAGTAAGTTATTACCTACCTCTAACCTTCCGCTAATATATTATACTGAGTGACAGACAGTAAGTCACTACCTACCTCTAACCTTACGCTAATATCTTATACTGAGTGACAGACAGTAAGTTATTACCTACCTCTAACCTCCTGCTAATATCTTGTACTAAGTAACAGACAGTAAGTTATTACCTACCTCTAACCTACCTCTAATATCTTATACTGAGTGATATACGGTAAGTTATTACCTACCTCTAACCTACTGCTAATATCTTATACTGAGTGACAGACAGTAAGTTATTACCTACCTCTAACCTACCGCTAATATCTGATACTGAGTGACAGACAGTAAGTCATTAGCTTCCAGTGTCAGTAAACAGTCACTAATTTCTACGTCCATTGCATTTAAGAAAAATAAATTAAGTAAAAACCCTTTGAACACAATGACAAAGAATGCAAACAGCATGGAAATACTTAATTAGGGTTTTTACACGCAGCACAGAGACACTTTAAGTGGACATGTGATGTGGGTCACAGACTCCCTTACTGTCTAGAAACCAAATTAATTGCTGCTTGTATCTCCAGCCATACCGTCCCAAAAACCAGAACAAAGAGCCATCTCTCCTCTCTGTAGCTCCAACATACTGAGCTTTTCGCTAGTAATATGTACTTTGGAAAACAGCGGACTGAGATGTTAATAAAATTATCACACATGACTCGTTGAGCCCAGGGTCCTATTATTAATCCAAGAAGCTGAACGGGTCCCTGTTTGCACAATCCATCAGGTTCCCCAAGTATCTGGGAGCTCTCCAAACGATGGGATGCTTGGAGATTTCATTTCTGTCCTTAATCATGTTTAAAGAATCTAACATTAGGGGATTGGTGGAGACAATTAGCTTCAGTACATTAACCCGGACTGATAGATGTTAAATAACTTAGCTTTCGTGCGTGTGCCGGGACATTCACGACGGACTCTCGTGGGACCCCCTGAAATCTCTACTGTTTGAGAAGCTAACACCTACTATCCAGTTAGCTGCAAACGGTAAATACTCGCTAGATGTAAAAACACCGCTTGAAATAAAATATATACATATAAGTGCTCAGAATAATTAAGCTTAGTCTAGTCTTTTCGTAAAGATGTGGCATGCCTTTATTTCTTTTGCCTTTTAAATATCGAGGGCATTTTTTCACAATATTGTATTTATTATCATTATGTATATATATAATTTAGGATTGACACTAAGATCTACGTTTTAGGTGGTGTGAATAATGGCGGTCTTTGATACAGGAGGGCACAAGCAGGTCTACTGTCTCTCACTGCAAGAATTGCAAATGTGTAGAAACATATAAGGTTCAGATACTTAGATACTTCTGACACAATGTTTGATTTGGGTCAATTAAATACAGTGCAAGCTATTAGTGAATGCAAGCCATTATAAAATAATAATAGGGAGAACCCTAAAAGAAGAAGTAAGGGCAACAGGAAATGCAACCATAGAGTTTCCTGTAAACCAAATATAAAATCTCACTGTTTTAGTGAAAATAAACCGACATTGTGAAATGTGGATGAGTCTAAATCCAAGTCCTTGTAATAACATATTCAACAGGTTCAGTCTCTCAGGTGGTCGTGAATGGCTGCCACTATGAGTGAAGACTGGTCCTGGTTGGGTAAGAGCTTTTTAGCCCATTCTAAAGTTACTGGGCTCTTCCCTCTACCTACTAGCCTGCCTTGTGCTTGACTGCAGGTATACTTGCTTGTTTAGGGCTGTCATTAATGCTAGTCCGTGGTATCACATCCTGCTGACTAGTGAGTGTTTCCTTGTTAAGCCATGCATGTCTGGTCTGTCAAGTGGATATTGTGAAACAGGCTGCTCAACCACTAGCAAATCCAGACGATTGTGTCGGCAGAGATTTCCTTCAATGTCCACAAGATAAGAGTGTGGTGCAACATTTTGCAGACAGGTAATCCAACGACCTGTCTGATCTCCAGGTTTCATATGGCTTTGTTCTTCAATATTCAATTCAGTCGAATCTTTAGCAGCTGTTTCATATCGTGCCTTGAACACTCACCTCTTAAGTGGTAACTTTTTTGGTACAATCTCGGTTGGAGTGTTTCTCCACTATAAGAAGGCCTTCCACGGGTCTGTACTATCATGTGACGGTAGTAATCTGTATCACCGTCTAGTATTCCCTTTTTCCCAATAACAGAATAACCAGAATAATCCACAGGGTAAAATACCGCTGGTATCGCCAAATAATCC